CATCGACGACGATAATCGAAAATCCTTTTTTTTTTCTTTCTTTCACGAGCAAAAGCCGACGAGTTTTATCAACGACGTAGCATTTGTTTGCGTGATAATTACTTTTCTACCATTTGATTTCAAAGAACACGAGGGAGGAAAGGGATAGGATTTTGAAGGGTATTTATGGGATGCAAAAAGGGGGGCTAGAAAAAGGAGTACAAGGTTTAGGTGTCACAATCAAAACCCTTACTTGTCTTAAGTCCAAATTCAGTTAACCTTAACCTAATTAGTGTTTTAAGCTAATTTTCCAAGTCCTACTTGGCTATTTGCTTAAAAGAATTATATGGTTTTGCTACAACTAGTTGAACCTTTTTTAGATGACTATCTAGCTTAGTTGGTAGAGCACAAAGTTCTTAATCTTGAAGTCGTGGGATCGAGTCTTACAGAGGGTATTTCATAATTTGGAGGTCTTCTACGGAAGCTGCTCTCTATTGGTGGCAGTCTACTATCTTATCTCCCCCTTACCCCATTACATATGGGAACAAGGGACAACCATTTTAGTTGAGTCTTTTTTATATTTAAGAAATTAGTGGGTTTTAGACCGGAAATCGGTTGGTTTAGTGGGATGAGACATTAGGTCTCTTAAGCAAGGTCAGGAGTTCGAATCTTGGCGTTTGCGAATGGAGCAAACTGGGTTGAGAGGGTCGCCCTCGCTTCTGCAGTACCCAATCTAGATTAGTTGGTCAATAGATCAGATATCATTGATTAATTCAAAAAAAAAACTTTGGGTTAATATTTTATTCATTCATTTTTGAGAATATGAAGAGTTGGGTCAAATACATTTATTTGATTTACTTGTAAATACACGTTCTTATCTTATATATTGATTATGTATTTATATATCATCATGTATTAAACATTAACTTCATGTAAAAATACAGGGTGGATAATATTTAGAACTTAAATGATCAGTTTTGGTCCGTTTTAATACTTAAACTTTCAATTTTTTCTAAATCATACCTAAAGTTTAGTTTTTGTTTTATTTCAATACCTCGTTAAAAATTTAGCCTTAAGTTTTTGAATTTTTTTAAAAGTTTAGGTATTAAAACGAACAAAAAATGATAGTTTGGGTACTAAACACGTTAGTTTTTAACAATGAGGGTACTAAAATGAAATAAAAACTAAATGTTAGATATGAATTTGAAAAAAAATTGAAAGTTTAAAAGGGATAAAATTGATTGTTTAGGTACTAAAGGCGTAGTTTACTCAAAATTATATATAATTAATAAATCATTTTATAATTGACCATAAAAAATGGAACTAAATAATAATATAGAACATTTTTTCACAAACAGTTTTAATTTTAGTTATTATAACTTAACACTGATTTATAAAAAAAAACTCCGTAATTAATATATCAAATAGTAATATTCATTATTATATAAGATTAGCACATCACTTGTAATTTCTTTTTAGTGTAAATTAGCATTTAGTAGCTATTAATTTTGATTTGTTTTAGTACTTAAACTTTTTAATTTTTTTAAAATCATACCTAAATTTAGTTTTTATTTTATTTTAGTATCACACCATTAAAAAATTTAGTTTTTGTTTTATTTTAGTATCATCTCTCAAAATTTAACGTTAATTTTTTAAAAGATTGAAAGTTGGGTACAAAAATTGACCAAAACTGATAGTTTAGGTACTAAACGCGTTAAGTTTTAAACGAAAGAGTACTAAGATAAAATGAAAACTAAACATTAAATATGATTTTAAAAAAGTTAAAAGTTTATGTACTAAAACATATGACAACTGGTAATTTAGATATTAAATACGTAGTTTATCTCCTTTTTATTACTTAAAGACTTAAAAGAGGATTTACATTGGGCAGTAATTTTAGAAAGTTAGATATATGTGGGCTTGAATCGCCGGTATGCACAACATGTCCACTGGTCTTATAGAATACTTCAAATAAATCGCAAATGAACCTTTTAATGTGGACATGACTCGTTGATGCATTAATAAGAAATATTATTTTAGTCTTAATTAATATTAAATATCAAAATTGATATTGAATAATTAAATTTTACTCGTAATATAAATTCCATCTTTATTAAAATAAATAAAAGACGTGTTTATGACTTATGTAAAAAAAATAGTTTTTTAAACGATTCTTATCTAGGGAAATGAATGAAAATTTTGCTCATAATTGGTATATGTTTTAAAAATTCTTGACTGTTTGACGATGAATATTAAAATACCCTTATAATATGTAGTGTTCGAACTTAAAATTTATAAAAATAACAATCATTATTTTAATCACTGAGATAGAGATGATAAATGGGTACAATTTAGGGATGGCAGTATGACCCGAACCCGACGGGAAAACCCGAAACCCAATCAAGTTCGGGTCGGGTCGGGTTGAATGATATCGGGTTCTGGTTCGGGTTCGGTGATTCTTTTCGGGGATTTTTTCGGGTCGGGTTCGGGTTCGGGGAAAGGTATCCCCCGCCCCGCCCCGATTATATATATATATATATATAATATTTTATAATTTTTATATTAATTATATATATAATATTTTATATATTTTATATTAATTATATATAGAATATTTTCGGGTTCGGGTTCGGGTTCGGGTATAATATTTCAGGTCGGGTTCGGGGACGGGGCAAAAAAAATCCCCGATGGGGCGCCCCGATAAAAAACCCGTCGGGGATGGGGATTTATTTCGGGTTCGGGGACAGGGCGAGCAAAACCCGCCTCGAACCCGACCCGTTGCCATTCCTAGTACAATTTCGTGGATTCTGCATCGTAACTTTAGTGGGTAGTGGACGGGTGTGGAATTAGAAAGTGGTACCCGTCGCGGGTAGTGGGCGGGTGATGGGTTTGAGACCTTATCCGCCCCGCATCCGCCCACCCCGTATCGACCCGCCACACATCCACCCACCCCGCAAATACCCATTAAATTTTGGATCATCATAAATTTAGGTATAATTTTAGGGTTTGTCATTTATGTGTGTCAAAGAACAAAAATATTATGTGTTTGTCATTTATGTTTCTCAGCTTTAATTATGTCTTTTGTTATAGTGTTTTATGTACTTTAAGATCTATGTTAACACTTAACTCAGATAATCTTTGATTTATTTTATTATGTTTCTTAATGGACGTGTTTGTTGCTTATGTATAACTTAAGGTTGTTATCAGACGGGTCTAGCCAGGTACGTCTCTAATTAGGATAGTGGTGTGGGGATGGATTTGAGAATGTACCTGCATGAGCAGGTGTGGATTTGAAAAATTTTAACTACCATAGGTGGTGGACGGATGGTGAATTTAAAAATATTAGGTGAATTTGAGGATAGAAGAGGGGATATCCACACCCGACCAGCCCGTTTTACATCCCTACACTGAGATAGCTTAACAAGATTCTTCGTCAAAGTTTCCTTATAACCACATGGGTTTGCAGTCTTTGCTTGGACCGTCACTCGACAGGCAAATCCATTAGGTTGAAATTGTTTCTCCCTTTGCGGCTAAAAGGGCTGACATTCAATAGATCCGTCAAAAGAAAAGGTTTCCCTTGCTTTAAATGATAAAATTGGTAATATCATGGTTGGGGGGAAAAATAGTCAAATGATAAGTGGAAAAGTTTTGAAAGTATAATATCGTATGGATCATATTTTATATTAATTTAAATAAATAATAATTTATATTTAAGGTAGAGTGTATTTAAAATATAAGGTAAAGTATACCAATGGTCCTTCGACTATAGGATATTGTTTTGTTAAGTCTCTCGACTGTTAAAAGTTGTAAAATGGTCCCGACTATAATATGTTGCTCTGTTGAGTCCATCGACTATTAAAAGTTACAAAATGGTCACTCGATTATTCGTATATTTCAAATCATTTGTTTTCTGTTAAAAGAATTGACGACGGTCTGAGCTGGACATTAACCCGCTGATTATGATGTGAAAAAGTATGATCCTAGAATCTTAAACGACTATCATATCTCAATCATCGTGTGAACGTCTAGCTCAAACGACCGTCGATTTTTTAATGGAAAATGACGAATTTGGAATATATGAATAGTTGGGGGTGAGCATTTTGTAACTTTTAATAGTCGAGAGACATAACAAAGAGACACTCTATAATTGAAGGACCATTTTATAACTTTTAATAGTCGAGAGACTTAATAGAGCATTACCGTATAATCGGGACCATTTGTGTAGTTTTACCCTAAAATATATTAACTAAAGTTTGGATATGCATAGGGATGACAACGTGTCTGATTGAGTCGGATTTTTGGTCAACCCGACCCGACCCAAAAAATATGTATCCTTCACCAGAATTTGAATCGAATCGAAAATTATAAATCTTTCATCCAACCTGACCGACTCGAAAAATATATATATTTTCACGTGACTTTCATGTCACTTATTTTTCTTGATTTAACATACAAGTGATTAAAATAGTAACCAATTGAAAGAGTAAATTAGAAAAGGTATAATATCAAAAATAGCCTTTAACATTTATCAAAAGTCATTTTGTCCCCTATTCTTTTTTTGAGCATTTTGGCCCCCAACGTTTCACTTTGTGTAAAAATCTCCCTTTATATATTAAAATCATTAATTATACATGATTAACGCTCTAAAATAGGAGCCTTTTTAACCTAAAATAAAATATTGACGATTAAAGTGCCTCAGAAAAATAATAAGAACAAATTGATTATTCTGTTAAATATTAAAGTTTTTTTGTCTTAAAATCATACACTAAGGCCAAATGCTCAAAAAAAATAGAACAGAGAAAAAATGACCATTTTGATAAATATCGAGGGTTAATTTTGGTATGATGCCATTAAAACATTATAAACTTTAGTGACCAAAATAGAAGAAAAAATAAAGTTGGGTGATGACATTTATAGTTTATCTAAAACATTAGTTTTCAGTCAATTGCTGACAAAGCTGTGTACAGTTAATGTGTGTCACCAACTCTGTCGGGAAGATTACAAAACTTTCGCCCTCCTCGCACTTTTTTCTCTCCCAATCCCAATTCCAGCCGCCGTGTACGCCGCCCCCATATCCAGAATTGCACCTAATTTCCATATATTTCTTCCTCGAAACTTCTTCCTTTCATTTTTCCGATTAGTTTTCCCCCAACTTTATAAACGTTATTCTTCATCGTTGTTGGATTACTTTATTGTTGGATTTCCGTGTGGTCGCATCAAAAACTCAATCGGGTACGTTATTCTTCATCTCCTGTTTTCTATATATTAAATCCGTAATTGAAGAACTCAAAATCTATTCCTTTAGGTGACTTGATTATTTTGTTGATTCTAATTATAATCTCAGGATCGCCTCCTCTCTTTCTTTATTCATTTTAGATTTTCTTTTAATGAGATGAGATGACAGCATCACAAAATCATGTATTTGAATTTTTGGAAGCAAAGTTAAGTGTATGGCTATTGTTTTAATGAAATTTAAGCTTGAGATTTGGAGTTCCAAGAAAAGAGTATTGAATTGTTCAATCAGCCTTGGGATTCTTCTTGTGTAATTTGGATGTAATTTGTGCTTATTTCCTTGATTTTTGGCATTCTTTTATTGTTCTCTCTGATTGTGTGATTGCAGATGGTGTAAAGAGCTGCTGTAATTTTATCAGAGAAGCTGTTGCTTGACTTGGTTTTCTAAATTTTGAATCTTTTTTCTTCACAGCATGGAGAAAAGCAACAATGATGATGATTTTACCTTTTGTCAGGTAAGTTAAAGTTCTATAGTTCTCATGATCGTGACCTTACATTATACCTTTTCATTGCGTGTATTAACTTAGTATATCAAGAAGTATTGCTCTTTGTAATGATGTTTTTATTTTATTGTAAGAATAGTTAAATTTTGGGTTTTTGGTTTAGGTTGGGTCACTGACCGATCAAAATGGTGTGGAGGCGAATAATCTAGCAGCTGATGTTGGTAGTATTGCCATCAAAGACGAATCCTCAAGCTGCAGTGACAATAATAAGGATGGTGGTTTTCCCTGGAAAGATAAACAGCCACATCAGGCTACTGTTGGTTCTTTGAGTTTCAGTGTTACTGATGCTTCACATTTGAGATCATCGGGTGAATCATCAAGAGAAGTAGCACCCGGAGATGCGGGTACTCCAGCCAAGAATGCAGAAAAGCCAAAGAATTCTACTAGAAAGCCTGCACCTCGGGCCAAGGTTCCTTTTGAGAAGGGTTATAGTCAAATGGACTGGTTTAAGCTTACTCGTACACATCCTGACCTTGCAGGTATGATGTGAAATCGCTTCTAGGACTCCCTCCCCCCAATGACCTCTAATGGTAACACTAACTGCACGTCTCTTCTATATTTCAATATAAATCATGTGTTTTAGGATTGAAAGGGCAGTCAAATAGGAGGCTTATTTCAATGAGTGAAGTTAAGCAAAACCAAAAGGATGGTTCCATGTGGACTGTTCTGAAAGGACGTGTGTACAATATTTCTCCATACATGAAGTTTCACCCCGGAGGTTTGTACATGACTTTTCATATTCCCCTTAACTTTGAATCCGTTACTTCATGGTTTCTAGTTGAGCATAGAATGAAATGTGTGACGACATTATTAGTTATGGTGGAATCATTGAGCTGAGATATAACAAGTCAACTTTTATTTTCCTATATTAGTTTTGTCCATGAATTTTGTAGTGTAATAATATATATATTTTGTCTAGAAAAGGCTATTTAACTATTTTGACAATATGATTTTTCTCAGGTGTTGATATGCTCATGAAGGCAGTGGGAAAAGACTCCACAGCTTTATTCAGTATCCTTTAAGAAAAATCTATTTATGGTTGAGGCCGAGGTAATGCCAACTTTACATGTTCTTCAGTTGAAAAAAATGTTTGCATGACATTGGACTAGGGTTAATAGTACTTAGTTATTGTACAATTTCAACTTAACATATTGAATTTGGGAGTTGATTAGAAACCCTTAGTAGAGATGCTTGAAAGCCTAGCTTAAGATATAGGACGGCCTTATAATCAATGTCATATATATATATTTTCTCACCTTTTATAAAAATGGGGAAAGTACAAGATGCTATTCTCCTCGGTGTTTGAATTTTTAAAATTATGCGACATCCCTTAACCCGTGTTCAAGACAAATACCATGCTTGGGTAAACTTCGAATTCTTGCTGGAAAAATGTTTGGTTGGTATTTTGGATGATAGTGAAGGCAAACAGACGTGATAAACCCCTCTTCCTCTGGATTCAGCCTTTGTTGTTGGCTGTTGTTATTGTTCTTGGTGCAGGAAGAGGATGCTTATTATCCGGAGTTGGATTGTGTCATTCGATTCTATAAATCTGAATTCATAGAAGATGGTGAATGGAATAAGTTGTACTACACACATGCATTGCTGCAATGTGATATTTCGAGCATCATATTTAGGTTATGATTGGAGGGTACATTGACACTAAATTTTCTAGTTGAAGGAAGAAAATAATACCAGCTAGAGTTCTAATGATCAGTTGTATTTAATACAATGTTGTTTTTGGTTCTATTGATGCACTGATTCTCGATTTGATGCGCATATCGGGCAGTAATAAATCTTCTTGATGGAAGCGATGATCTTCGTGTGTGTATTTACTTCCGACCTCGATAAATTGGTACCTCCCGGTAACACGTTCGAGCTGCATAGTATTGTCGTAAGCTTCACAATGATAAAATCAGTGTTGTGGATCTCTTTCTTCTTCATAGATATCACAATAATGTCGTAGCAGATAGTAATGAGAAATCTTGATAAGCAAATATCGAAGAATGTTCATCGCATCCATGTCGAGCAGCGTTTGCCATGACTCGTTTTTGTCAAATTGGTGTTAATCTTGAAAAATATACGACTGGTGTCGATTTAAAAATTAAATTTTTAGGTGATATATAAAAAGATTGATTATAAATGTTTAATTTAAAACAAATTTTATTTTATAGATAAATTATAAAAAATATCAATTCGATTTATTCAATTGCTTTAATTTAATAGAAAGTAAAAAAAATCAATTCTATTTATTCAAGTTATTTTTTTTTCATTCATGGCAGCGTTGGAAGACCACCACCGGTGTTTTTGAACTCTCGATGTAGGTTTTTATTTGGTTTTCTTCTTGGGTTTTTTTATTTTACCTGAATACATGGTTGTTACTTTTCCGATGCATGATTCATCTGTTCGTTTGTTCAAGACGGTTCGTTGATTATCGCATAAAGTGTCGGATGGAATTGCTGTTAAGGGGAGATCATCTTTTTTTTATATGAACATGCATATCCTAATTGTTAGAGAGATTTAATAAATAATAATAATAATAATAATAATAATAATAATAATAATAATAATTGTTAAAGAAATAGTAATAAGAAAATGCAATCAAGGTTCCCTTTTCCCATACAAGGACAAAAGCTTGTCGTTCAAAACCAAAACCATTGCTTCCAAATTGTATGTTCTTCCCACCTGCATTATCAAAACATAATTCAATTCAATCCATTCTCAAATCTACACAATAATAGTATAATTTTATTATATAAGTCGTTTTGACTCAAGTAAAAAGTTGGGGACTAAAGTGCTTCAGGAAAAAGATTAGGGATCAAAATGAATATTTAATCAAACGTTATGAGTGAATTTAAATCTTTATCTTTTTTTATCCTAACCCTAAATTGTTTAATTTTATCTAACCTAAAATTTACCGGCTTTAGCCCAACTTGCATCTCAAAGTGTTTAAAAAAATGATGCGTCATTTGTTGATAAAAAAGAGAAAATAATGTGACAATTGTAAAAATAATAATAAAAGAATCTCACTCCATTGTTGTCGTTAATTTTTTAACGATTGATGATAAAAATAGAAAAGAATAACCCCGGTTACGTTTTTAAAAAAAAATTCAATGACCAAAATATGAGAGAAGCAATAAGTTGGTGACTATTGGTGTAGTTTACTCATTTTTCAAGAGCAAACTAAGTAAATACTTAAACTATTACCTTTATTTTGTTTTGGTACCAAAAAATTATTTTGTTTTCAAAACCATATTTAAAGTTTAACTTACCTTTTAATTTGATTATTTTTATATGTGCATCATTCATAATTAATTTTATTCTCTCTCTTATTTCGTTCATTATATTTTTAATTTTTTTTTAATTTATTTACTAAATTTTTACATTACTCCTATTTTGGTCACTATAAATTATTTTATTATTATTATACGGCATGGTATTTTTATATATTATTAAACATAAAAATAACTTAAAATAAATAACAAAATAATATTTATTTATTATTAAATTTAAAATAATTTAAAATAATCACTGTCCTTTTCTTGTTACCGTTGACCACCATCTAAATTTAATTTTATATTAAATAATAAAAATATCATATTATATCAAAATAATATTTACCTGAAAGTTCAAGTTGTAGAAGATTCGTCCACCAAATGACTCGAAGCAAGAAGAGTCCATTAGGAACAGTCCGTCGTCTTCTAAACCGAGCAAGACAGTCGACAACGGCGGAGTCTGAGCCGCCGCCGCGAGTGTTGAAATCTGAATCGCGATTTCCGTTTCACTGACCTTACTGACAGAAACTGTGAACGGCGAGTCTGATTTAAATCCCTCCAACATTTTTCTTTTGCTTTGCTGTTGATGATCGACATCTGGCCTGGAAATGGTTGAAAGAATGTGTTCCTTCTTTTGAATCAGTTTCTCCACTTGCGCTTGTAACTCCGGTATGTATTTCAGCATCCCTGAAACTGTCGCCGGGATGCTTAACCTTTTCTGCAACCAATCACGATCAACAATTCGAAGGTTGAAATCTCAGAAAACGATCCATTTAATCCTTCAACTTTGAATTTATTTTAATTTAATCCTTAAATAATACATATAAACCTTTGACACGAACTCGACGAATTCCGTTTCGACCCGATGTTATAGGGCTGGTTCCATTTTTTATTAGAAAACGTCAGTGTGATAAAAAAAATGAAAGTTAAAGTAAGAAATTTACTAAAATACCATAGTCATTTTGGATATTAAACTAATATATAAAGGTTGAATATTTCTTTATATTTAGGGTAAACTACGTATCTAGTACCTAATATCAACTTTAGTTTGTTTTAGTACTTAAACTTTTATTTTTTTTTTCAAACTTATGCTTAAAATTTAGTTTTTATTTCATTTCATTTTAGTACCCGCCATTAAAAACTTTTAATTTTTGTTTTATTTTAGTAGTCCGTTCAAAATTTAACGTTAAGTTCTGAAAAAAATTAAAAGTTTAGATACTAAAACAGACCAAAACTGATAGTTTAAGTACTAAATGCATTAATTTCTTAACGGCGAGGTACTAAAATGAAAAAAAAGAATTAAATGTTAGATATGGTTTTGAAAAGATTAAAAGTTTAGGTACTAAAATAGACCAAAACTGATAGTTTAGGTACTCAATGTGTAATTTACCCTTGTATTTATTTCAAATATTTTCAGCTACTCAAAATTAAATTCGCACATGATCAAGATGAATAAGTATATTTGTACCGATTGCTCCGATGGTGGAAGCAGTGAACGAAGGGTGGAGTATAAGGTGTTCATTTTCCGTCGTCGGTCACGTTCGCTGGCGTTGTGATTAAGCTTCTTGACAACGTCGGGGTTGTTGTCGTCGTCGCCAGTGGTGTCTCCGGTGAACAACAGGGAGCGGTCGAGGTCGAGGTCGAGCTGAGGCAGATGAGGGAGTGTAAAATGATGGAAATCATCGAGGGTAACAAAGCCATTGCTGATCTGATTGTGGCCGATGGGAGCATCTAGGGGCCACTCACACACCGGAAACAAAGGGGTTAATGCACACATTGTTAAGTAGGATCGATGTGGGATTAATGAATGTTTATACTTATATATATATATATATATATATATATATATATATATATATAATATATATATATATATATATATGTATGTCGATGGAAGGTATATTTGATGTGTTCTCATGTTCACACTGAGAAAATAATTGATTAATGCTTTGACAAATGACACCTTACCTGCCCATACATACATGCATACAAAATCTAGTCCTAAACTAAATCAATTACTTTAATTTAAAATATTTTAAAATATATATGTAAAATTATTATTAATACACACATATGATTATAACCTGAATTAACTTTAATATACAAATAGAATATCAATAAACCCTATATCAATATAACCTAGAAGCTTATGGGTAAGCTCATGTGGTGAATGCCATGCACGTGGGTGAAGCAGGCTTTTCGCTTACCTGCGCATGCAATAACTATGAGTCCACGTGCCTGGCAGATGCCATTCATTATTGTGTTTCTATTTTGGTTACCTGGCTTTACAATTTTCTAATTTTGTCACTCACTTTTGAAATTCATTTTTTTTCACTCCATTAGGGGTGCTTATCGAGCGAGTCGATTGTGAGTTGGACGTTGCTCGACTCGTGCTCATTAAAAAGTTTTGTTGCTCGACTCGACTCGACTCAACTCGTTGCTCATTAAACTAGTTAAAATTTTACTCAATTCGTGCTCGTTAAGAAAACTCGTTGTTCGCGTCGTTGTTCGATACGCTTACCGAAATTTTTACTTTATTTTCTTAACTATAGGTAAAATCTATTAATACTATATAAAACTTAATATAAACATAAATTAATAAATTTAACCCCAAAAATTTATCAAAAGAGTGTATTAAGTAATTTTAAAGTCTAAACTCCAGCACGATCCAAGTGGCCTCCGCGGTAAAAGAATTGTTTATATTCTTAAGGAACTGTGTTCGAGCACCATATATGTCAGGGGTGTGAGCATTTAACGTTGAAAGGTTGAAAATTATCTTCGAACAAATATTACCTTGTACTTACTCCAAATTATTTTAAAAAAATTCTAAACTCCAAAATAACAATCTATAAAAATATTAAAATAATAAATAAGGTTTGCTTTTTGAATGTATGAAATAACTTTTTAAGATAATTACTAAAAAAATTAAATACAAAAATTAACGCGAACTTATCGAGTTGAGTTGGATTTCGTTAAACTCAACTCGTTAAGGTCTCAAGTCGAGCTCGAACTCGAATCAAGTCAACTCGAATCGTTTCCCCAAACTCAATCGTTTGGAACTTGAAGTCTTATGGCTTGCGAAGAATGAATCGAAGGTTAAAAACAAGGATTTGATTATGTAATGAACAATTTTTCCATCTTTACTCCTTTCCGTCTTCAGAATGTCGTTTAGAACAGGTAAGAAAAGTGCTTAAAGAATAATACATACTTGTAAGAGAAAAGTAAAAGAATCAGCAGCATTGATATGGAATTGTTTTCTCTGGACTTTGTATCCTCTACAGAGCTTGATCCTCGTCTTTCCAGTATTGAATGTGTGAGTCGAGCGTGATGAATGATCTTGTCCATTGATATCGGAAATGGCTACCTACAAAAGACATGGAGTGAAGAAACTTCGATTAGAGGTGGATGGTACAAATATTCCTACCATGTCCAATGGTTCAGACCCATGGAAAGCAATGGAGCATTATCAGAACAAGGCTGAAGTTTTATGCATGAACCAAGAGTTTCAGACCCATGGGAACTGAAAACGGGGATGGACCGAGGGACTAGTGGAGACGGTCGCCTCTTCTGAAAATTTTGAATTCCCGTCCTGCTCTATCCTACAAGGATATGGTTACTGGCTCCAGTTCTCCTCAACAGACCAATACCGCTTTCAACCAGGACGATGACGATATAGAATTACTTGCGGAGGATATCTCTTTAGGAGTCTCCAATGGTCTCCCAACCATTGATTTCTCCAAGTGTGTTCAAGCTCTTTCCCACAAAAGCATGGATATGACCCTCGTTGTTAAAGTTCTTGGTCGTCGCATCGGCTACAATACGCTTCATAACCGTATGTATAGTCTCCTAATCATTTATGGTGTCAATCTCCTACCAAAGTTAACATGCAAAGTGCAGGTTCCCAAGGAGAAGAAAGAATCCGAAGCTTTGCAAGCGAGACTCAAAACCCCTGAATGTTACCCCTTCTGTTGTTCTTTGTCCTAATCAAAATTTGATAGCTTGCGTGAAATAAATTAGTGTTTGAAGGTAAAAACATAAAAAAAAAACTAGCTGACCCTATTCTCATATGTAATGGGATGAGGGGAGGTAAGGTAATAGGCAGCTTCCGTGGAAGACCTCCGGCAGTCAGAATTATGAATTGCCCACCGTGGGACTTGATCCCACGACCACAAGGTTAAGAGCCTTGCTCTCTATAAACTGAGCTGGACGGGCAATTCTTGAAGGTAAAAACATAGATTGATGCAAATTCATCCTTTCAGTGGATTAATGCTATTGATGATGGCTTGTTTATAAGCAATCCTATAACTTGTAATAAAAATTTATAATTGTTTATATGTTACTTCTTAGAGAGAGAAAAAGTGTTTGAATTTTTATTCAATTTTATTTTATTGCATGCTTAAAATATGTATTTCAATGACTTATTATTATTATTTATCTAATTTAGTCCCTCTTTGAATTTGTTTTCTATTTCTTTTCCTCTCCACCATTTTACCCTCAGATGTTGCATGTTAAACCTGTGCAACTTCTTAAATGAGTATTTAAAGATGGATTAAATTGATGTAATTTTAAAATATCAAAAAATATTTTTCTAGAATTAGGATCAATTTGATAGAATTTGTAAGTTCTGTTGACTAAAATTGTTACTATACCAATGCCACATCACCATTTTTGTTTAGTCAACAATTAGATCTAAAGGTAGCTAATCAAAACAGAAACAAAACGTTAAATATGATTTTGAAGAAAAAATTTATAGTTGAGTGATCAAAACAGAAATGATGTAATAAATGGGTGACTAATTGTGTAATTTACCCTATATTTATATATATATATATAAAGCATGGTTGATTGCATTGGCTTTGCCTAGGATTGGTAGGGTTGTTCATGAACATTCAAGTTTATCCATAAAAGATCAAAATAATAGAGACGAGGGACGAAAACGAGGGCAAATTATTTGTAATGAATTAATGATGAAGACTCCACCATATGGAAGACGAAGACTAATCGATAAGGGGCACATGATTTACGTAAAGGTGAAAGTGATTAGATCAGCGTGGACCTCATGGCTGGCTCTATTAGTTGGAAGACCAAGACTCGCTGTCTGGAAATAAATTATTAGAGGCAACATTGAAGTAACGATGTTGATGCAAGTGTAGAAGAAGCATCACTTCCCAATTTCATTGCTCTCTGTTTGCAATCTCACATTCTCACTTTGTTTTGATTTTGCTGGGATAACAAGAAATCAATCTTATCTAGAGGAGGAGGAGGAGAAGGAGGTATGCTTTCTTCAACTCACTGCTGATTCCCTCTTTTATTTCATCTTTGATTATGATTATGCTATGTGTTTCCTTCTTCAATATGTTGTTTTCTTTTGCGGCTACTGTTCTTTTCCTAGGGGTTTGCTTCCCACTCGTTCTCTAGTTTCTTCTGCTTCTTTATCAGTTTGTTTCAAGGGAAAATATGGAGGCTCTTTTTTCCATTGTCAAAGCTGCTAAGTACACTGTCGATCCTACTGCGCGACAGCTTGGTTACATATTCAAGCATAAGGCCAAGTTTCTGAACCTCCAGACTAAAGTTCAAGACCTGGAGGGTGCAAGACAAAGGCTGCAACAATCTGTTGAAGCGGCTAACAGGAACGGGGAGATGATTTCCGATGATGTTCAAAGGTGGTTGACAGAGGTGGATGAGAAGATCTCCGAGCAGGCCGCAAAGCAATTGCGGGAGGAAGAAGAGAAAGCAACCAAGAGGTGTTTCTTGGGCTTTTGCCCTGATTTCAAGTCCCGTTATCAGCTTAGCAGGAAAGCGGACAAGGAGGCCGACGCCATAACTCAACTCCTTACTCAAAAGGATGCATTTAATACAGTTTCCTACCTTCCTTCTGTTGAAGTGACAGACATTATCAGACCTGTTAAAGAGTACGAGGCCTTCAAATCAAGAAGCGGTGCTTTTGATGAGGTCATGGCGGCATTGGAAGATGATACTGTCAGTATAATTGGAGTGTACGGGATAGGGGGTGTGGGTAAAACTACACTTGTCAAAGAGGTTGCTGGACAAGCCAAGAAGAAACTGTCTTTCGATGAGGTGGTCTTTGTAGCTGTAACACAATCTCCAAACACAGTAAATATTCAAAATGAGATAGCCAACAAATTAGGCCTGAAATTAGACAACGACTCAAGCGTGGACGTGCGAGCTGCCCGGCTACGTGATCGACTAAAGAGAGCCAAGAAGGTTCTTATCATCTTGGATGATATTTGGGAGGAACAGGAGGTGGACACACTTGGAATTCCTACTGCAGACCAACACAAGGGATGCAAGATCTTAATAACCTCGAGGAAGCTCGTTGTATTGAAGTTGATGAGTTGTCAAAAAAGCCTTCCAATTGATGTACTGAAAGAAGATGAAGCATGGAACCTGTTTAAGAACGTGGCTGGTCATATTGCTGAAACATCTGACTTGCAATCTACAGCAATGAAAGTCGCCCAAAAATGTGCAGGACTGCTGCTCGCTATTACAACAGTTGCAAAAGCTTTGAAACATAAGGAGAATTTGTATGAATGGGAGGATGCATTGGAGCGGCTAAAACCTTCTGAAATAAACTACAGGGGGATATCTGGTGCTGTATATTCAGCTATAGAGATGAGCTACACATACTTGGAAACGGAAGAACGTAAATACACTTTCTTGCTCTGCAGTACAATGGGCCATAATGTTGTCATCGAAGACTTGCTGAAATATTGTAGAGGCTTGGATTTGTTTCATGGCCTTGACACAATTGAAAAAGCACGCAACAGAGTGCTGACATTGGTTAGCGACCTCAAAGACTCTTCCCTGTTACTTGATGGTTTCTTCTCTCAAAGGTTTTACATGCATGATGTTGTTTGCGATGTTGCCATTTCAATTGCTTCTAGGGATCATCGTTGGCTTGCTTTAGGAAAGGAAGATGTATTTGAAGAGTGGTCAAACGAGGATACAATGAGAAACTCTCGTCTTCTAAGCTTACATTATGCTAAGGTTAGTGAGCTTCCCGATGAGTTGGAATGTCCAAACCTTACATTTTTCTCCATGCATGGCTCTGTGGAAGTTCCCGATTATTTTTTTAAGGGAATGCAAAGACTCAGAGTCTTGGAATTTGCCCAAACTCATTTTACAACCTTGCCTTCCTCCATTGGTTCCTTGAAAACTCTTTGTCTATTGCGTTTGATAGACTGTGATTTAGAAGATATAGTCATCTTAGGAGAGTTGAGAAATTTAGAAATCCTTGATCTCCGCAGATCTAGAATGAAAGTACTACCAAAGGAGATAGGACAGTTGACCAAGCTAAAGTTGTTAGACTTTAGTCGTTGTTTTCGCCTTGAATCAATACCACCAAATGTGTTGTCAAAGTTATCCAAATTAGAAGAACTATACCTATATGACAGCTTTGATGGATGGGAGGTTGAGGCAATTGAGAATCCAAGAAGCAATGCTAGTCTTGCTGAGTTGCAGTATTTGTCTCGTCTAACCCATTTGGAAATACATATTCCTGATGTGAAAGCTATATCGACTTTCTGGAATACATTTTGGTGTTCAAAATGTAACAATTTTGAAAGTATGCACTTGCCATAAGTTGAAGTACGTATTTACTTCATCAATGGTTAAAAGCTTTGTGCATCTGAAAACACTTGAGGTTTGTAATTGTGATGAAATGAAAGAGGTGATAGAGGGAATATTATAGGCAACCGAAGAATAAAGGATTAGAGGCAGCATAAGGGTGTTCCCTAAACTCGACTCTCTGGAGCTCATAGGGCCAGGGCCGTGGCTAGGTTTTCGGGGGCCCTGTACAAATTCTTATAAAGGCCCCCTATTTTTTAGATATATTCGATTTTGGATAATAATAGTGGCGTTTTTTGACAAACGCCGCAATAGATCCATCTATAGTGGCGTTGTTCGATAAAACCGCATCAATAGTGACGTTTTATTTTTAAAAACGTCACAATAGGTCCATCTATAGTGGCGTTTATTGAAAAACGCCACTATAGATATACTTTTTTGGGGCAGTTTGCACCGCCCCAGCCACGGCACTGCATAGGGCTTCCAAAACTGAAAAGATTTTGCGGTGGAGTTAGTCCGATTGAATTTTCCTCACTAAAGGTTTTAAGCATATGGAGATGTCATGGTTTGAACACATTCTTTTTTTTATAGTGAGAAAAGCGAAGAAGTGTCGACACATTATCTCTTTAATGAAAAGGTATGCTTTAATTATTCATGAATATATAGATATTTCCTATGAATTGCTTATTAGTATTGAACTCTTCCAATTTTGATCAATGCATCCTATGTTTGTGGTGTTAACAAAACAATGGGGAATTGGTGCGGTCTACGTTTCCGAATCTACATCAACTCACTTTGGGACCTAATGCTGGAATGGAAGAGATGATATGTCATTGCGAAGGTCAACAACAACAGCAACTTTTGTCTCATTGCTTTGGCAACCTGAAAGTCGTCAAACTTGAGTGGCATGCAGACCAATTATTGCCATCTTACTTGTTCCGGTTCCGGTTATTAGCCTTACCCGATCTTCAAACACTCAACATAATTGACTCTTGTTTTAAAGAGACGAGATTCCAAAGTGAAGAAGGTGGTGAGGAAAAGCCTGCATCACTGCTACTCTCTCAGATAACTGAATTAGGGTTGTATGAACTTCCTGAATTGATGCATCTATGGAAGGAGAAGGAAGGATTCCCAAATCAAAGGATTCTGAGTGTTTGTGAGTGTCCCAAATTAAAAGTTAATCTAGTTCCATCCTCGGTATCTTTCCGAAATCTGGCGACTTTGAGAGTAGTGGAATGTGATGGAATCATAAAATTAATCACACATCCCACAGCCAAAAGTCTAATGCAGCTCAAGGAAATGTGTGTACCATTGCGAAAATATAGAAGAAATAACACAAGGTGGAGGAGATGATGATGAAATCAATTTCCCCCAACTCAACTGCTTGAAACTTTCGAATCTACCAAAGCTGGAAAGCTTCTGCTCAGCGGGGAATTATAGCTTTGGATTCCCATCCTTGGAAACTCTACTTGTAGAGAATTGCCCAAAGATGAAGATGTTCTCTCAAGGACACTCAAACACTCCAATGTTGCACAAAGTACAAATAGACTTACTGGGAAGAAAAGAGCAATGGGAAGGTAGCCTTAACAGCACCATACAACACCTATTCACACAAAAGGTATGTTTCCTCAAATTTCATTCACTACAAAAATATATATATACATTTATTGACTGAAATTTATGTTTACTATCTGATATGAGGGGTGTAAACGTTATATACTGACGGGTTTCCAATCCGTCAGTACATGTTCATATTACTGAAGTGTCATGACGACTTTTTTAGAAGCGTATTTAGAATAAATTTAGAAATCGAAATTAAGAATCGGAATTTTAGAAAAGATTTGAAACGTTTGAAGTCATCATTAACCTTTGAGATTAGGTAAATTGAAAACTCAAGATAGACCCTTTTAAATAATTTTTTTTTTTTAAAAAAAATGTGATTTGGCCTGCGATTTAGAGATTATGGGTTCGGGAGTCGATTACGCTTGGGGAAGGATTAACACATCCACAACGTCTAACCTTCAACAACAAATTTGTCCCTATATTGAAAATTAAGAAATTCAAATATTTATTTAATTAATGATATTTTATTCCCTAAAATAAGAATATTTAACCTAATTAAAGAATTTTTTTAAAGACACAATATTTATATATTTCCAATTAAAGAAGAAACTAACACCCTACTTGGAATTAAGGGGATTATTTCTTGTGTTTTAATCGAAATAATGAAATATTGTCATTCTTAAAAAATTAAACCCCAAATGAAAATCAAAGGTGACAAGCTAGTCAAATTATTATTTAAAAGAATAAGGGTGTTCCTTGATTTAAAGAACGAATGCCAATCTTTTGATGTTAATCAAACAATGTCCTTAGCAATTTAAACGTAGGAACAAACATCTACCCTTTTTGTTTTAATTAATGAGCATATTTAATTTTTAGAGTGACCACTAGCAGAATACTTATTTATTCAAAAATGTTGAAAAAGAAATACCTAGTTATTTTAAGACCATTCCTTTCAATATTTAAAAATAAATATATATTCTATTTTAATCAAATTATGAATTTATTTATTTATTTCCAATTAATTTTATTAAAGAAACTAATCCTAAAAGAATCATTCTAAACTTAATTAATTTCTAATCAAATAACTTAAACTAAGGTTCTAACTAATAACTAAAGCTAAAATTTAAAGAACTTAAAGTCTTAGTGTAGATGCTCATTTCCTTCAGGGATTTTTATTCAAGTTTTTATATATATTATTGTTGTTTTCCTCTTTAAATTAGTAATGTTTTAATTAGTTAATTAATATTTGTCACTAAATATATTATATATTAATATTTATTGTTAAATATATAGGTTGTATATATATATCAGCATTTTCGAACCAAGAAAAAAATCAACAAAAAAAACCACCATATGCAAAAGAATCCATCAACAACCCAAAAAACGGGAGGGATATTCGAACAACCAAAAAACCCAAAAGAGAAAAAAGAAAGCAAATGAAAACGAGAAAAGGAATAACTATGAACTTGTATTTATTAAAAGTGTTCAGAATTTGAATCCCGATGTTATGAATAAAATAATTATATTAGAAAAAGTCATACTTATGATAAATTTGATATATAAAATTATATAAAATAAAGTGTAAAGTATACAAATAATACTCCGACTGTATGATGTTAATTTTCAGTCTTTTGGCTATTATACAAAATATCCCCAGATTATAAGGTTTTGTTAAACTTTAGTTTTTATATATGATTTTGAAAAAAAATGAAAGTTTTATACATTAAAACGGACCAAAATTTAGGTACTAAATACATAATTTACCTTAAAATTAAAATTGAATAGGACTTGTACTATGGTTGAAGTCACCATCTACGGCTATTGTAAATAGGTACATATGTTATCAATTGTTTCGTGTAAAATATTGAAAAGGTTGGGATAGCGAGTCGCATTGAAAATAATGGAGGTCGTATTGAAAATAATGGAGGTCGTGACATTACTCATTTTTGAGTCCCCATGAGCCATGGATATCAGATTGACGATGGAGGTTGTCGATACCGTTTTTCGCCCAGACGGGAAAAGTTCGATATCGACTCGGGAGTTTTCTCTTTGAAAATCGTTTCGAAATATTGAATAAAATTCAAAAATGTTTTCATTTTCTTCTGGCTCACAATCAAAACAAATTGTAAAACAAGAGAGGTCGGTGACGGTTCACATAAAAATAACGATGATTAGAAGGTAGTATATATCCAAAATATTTCTGAAATCTTAATGGACTCTTTAATTTCGTCTCTTAATGAAGATTAAGGGTAGATTTTAAATATTTTCTTTACAAATATTGATAATTTATAAAAATAAACAAAAAGTATACGATTTATTATATTTTTTTATAATTAAACTGGGATGATTATAAGTGGTATCTGTTCTAAATATAATTCTCAATTATTTGGCAATAAATGTTCAATCACATTACTATAGTCTCTGGTACTCGAATATATGACTTCTAGAAACAACAACGATTATTTTAACTATTGAGGTAAGTTGGTTAGTACGATTAATTATATTAATTGACTTCAAGTTCACTAGCAAACGGTATAATGACTCTATTCATAGTATTAATAAATTGATTAGGAATTGTCTTAAGTTTTCTTTTTTATAATTCAAAAAGATTATTTTTATTATTTTAAGAAGCACTTAGATTAAACAAATAAAAAGTATATATTAAAAAATATAAGATATTAAAAAGTCTTAACCCGTGGCTCACCGGGCACATGGTAGGGTCTAAACCAAAGCTTTCATTGTTGTGCCCTCAACGTAATAAACATGCCGGAAGTTGACGGACTTCTCAATATGACTGATATTATATTATTGTGTAATTTACTCATTTAGAATTTTAAATTTTTATAAAATTATATCTAATGTTTAGTTTTTATTTCATTTTATTATCCCACCTCTGAAAACTTAATCGATGGGCTGACAGGGGGTATATTTTCGATGGACGGACAATTAATCCAATTGTGGACCATGAGAGAATGACGAGTCGACCAACATAGTCTAATTTTAGGCCCATCAGGCGATTGACGACAAAGATCGGAGGATGAAAAAGTTAAAGAGTCCAACATCGGTTGGGGGAGATTGAGTCACTTTTTGGTGAAATGGAAGCTAGAATCACATTCAAATTATCAAAAAGGTGCTGGCTAAAAAGTTAGGGCTTTATTGGTCGACGAATACAACAATAGTTGACTATAGACATGATGACCGACGAGCCCGTCCGTTAAATTTTTAACAGTGTGATATAAAATGAATTAAGAACTAAATGTTAGTTATGATTTTTAAAAAAATTAAAAGTTTAAATACTAAAACAGATAAAAAAATAATAGCTTATGTACTAAACTCATGTCATAAAGGTATAGAAAAGTGTCATAAAAAAATACGTTTCATAACGTTAAAATTATCAAAAATAAAAAAAAATAAAGATACACTATTAAATATATATATAATCAAGAATGAACATAAAATTTATATTAAAATGTAAAATTTAAAAAAATGATATTAAATTTTAAAAGTGATATTAAAAAAATATAAAGTTATAAAATTAAATCATCAATATAAAATATAAAAAATATAAAAAAAAATCATTTAAATTTTAAATTTTAAAAGATAAGACTCTACTAACACCTCGTGATCTATTCATGTATATAAAAGTAGGTCACATTGTAGGGCAGCTGTTTTTTGAAGCCCAAATATGGTAAGTGATACTAATGTTGGATTAAAATCCATAATTATGATTAATAGAAAGTTTTTATGTATGCAGAAAATTTCTGTTGAGAGACTCATCCATTAAAATTATGTATACGACGCGTGTCGGTCTGGCCGGGGGCAACAAAAAAAACTATAATCATGGGCACATATTTATAATGTATATTGTTATCATAAAATATGATATAAATTAAGTGATCACTTCGTGGAAATAATAACTGAAGAAATAGATATCTCGTATTTACTTTTATCCCCATTAGAGAGTTTATATTTAAAGGTATGTTTCCGCAAATATAGTATTTATTGTTCTTGACGATTTGGTATGATTTGATCTTAATTTATTTTCATAATTATTAAGTTTGATTCTAACAACAAAATGTTAAATTTCTTCAACTTATAATAATAATGGTAATAATATTAATATGCAAAACTCAATCGTAAATATTAAAATGAGAGATTTTGATAATGAATATTCAAATATTAATATTAGTATTAATAAAAAATAATTAGAATCTATATAATCTTCAAGTTAATATTACGTGTCAATCTCTTATTGTTCGAATAAAATAGAGATAGGAAATCAAATCTAGATGGCCAGGATTTTAGCTTAAGCAAGCAGCAAGAGGCCAAAGAGCATCAAGTAAGAAGAAAAGGCTTAATCAGTTGTTAATCTAACTCAACGCTATAGGCTGGCATTGGGTGCCAATAATGGTGGTTCACATGTCCTTCTTTCACCATTCACCCTCCCCTCCCTTTTTCTTAAATCGCCCCCTTTTGTCTGTTTATTAAGCTCACGCGCCTCCCTAAACGGATGGATCTGAAAATGGGCATGAGTCGAGTTTTCGGCCATCCGATCGACCTAAAATATATACACCCTCTATTTGAAATTTAACCTGACCTGGGATTAGAACGATTTCACTCGGCCTAAACCCGATATGACTTTTTAAGATAAAATTCAAACTCAACCCGACCCGAGATTAAGGGGCGCGTTTGTTTCGCACCTCTGAATGATTCAGTGCTGACTGATTCAGCAAAACAATGCTGAATGATTCAGTGCTGACTGATTCAGCACAGAAGTACATTCTGAATGATTCAGAGCCAGTAAACAAACAACATGTCACATTCAGAGTTAAATCATTCAGCACTTAATCATTCTGAAGAAAACAAACAGCCTCTAAAACGGCTTCATTTGACCTAAATCCGATCTGATTTTTTAAAATAAAATTCAAACTCGACTCGACCCGACCTGAAATAAATATTTTAAAATATATATTACTTTTATTTAATAAAAATAAGAATTTAATTGAAAAAAATAATATAGAAAAATATATCATTATAATTATCTCTGAATATATAAAATATGATTATATTATATTTTGAGTTAAATCAAGTATCTTTAATCATATATCCGAACTCAACCCGAACATATTCTCAAAAAAAAATCGATCCGACCCGCCCTAAACCATAACTTAAAAAAGAAGAAGACCCCAGCTGGATCTGTCGTATTTCTTGTGTGTCTTACACGCGCTTCATGCATGATGTTTTAAATACGAAGCTGATATAATTAAAAATAGCAACTAAAAATCTGCCCAAAATCTCTTCCCCAAATTTTAGGAGAATGTCCCTTTTAATGACCGTTTCACCCTTTGTTTTATGTTGCCCCTGGTATTGTACATTTGTACGGAAATACTTTGGCAAGTATTCTGGTATAATTGAAATTTAATCCTCCATGTTTATATTTTTGTTCAATAAGATCTTATTCTTTTGGGAGCTAAATTTGGCCATAGATTTTTTTCACATAAACTGGTGTGATTTTAATGATAGTAATGATTATATCATTAAATTCTAAGGAGTTAACATGATTAGTTAATTAATTAATTAAGTCCAGCAAATTAATTAAGAAATGCCAGTTGAAGTATAGTTTTCCAAAACTAGATTTTAGAATGTAAATTAATTAAGTCTAGCAAATTAATTGCCAAACCATTAAAAAGGTTAAAACATGTTGAGGGTTTTATACTTTATCAAGAAATGCATTTAAGTCCCTATTGAATTGATAGATTAATTAAGAGTATTTTAATGTTAATTGATTGGTATCCTTGTAACATCTAAATCTTAGTGTGTAAATAAATTATCAAACCCAAATCTATAAAGGTAAAAATATGTTAGGGTTCTTATACTATATCAAGAATTGCAATATGACCATGATTAAACGTTAATATCACATTAGACCCCTTAATTAAAAGTTATTAAACATTTAAAATAATTAAAAATCAATATTTTTTTAATATTATAATGATAACAATATCAATCGAATTAAGATATAAGATTTTATTTTAGTATCAATTATATTTCATGTGATAATAATTAAATATTGTAACGGGGACAAGAGTCAAGCATACGAGTGTACGTGAGATATTTTCCATTTTCTTAAAGAGGAAAACACTAAAAATCAAAGGATAATCTAGTCATTTCATTAAAGGGTGTATTTGTCTAAAACAAGTTTATACGAATTTTTAAAAAACCAACGAACAATCAAGACCGTTCATTAGATCCATCCAACGGTTCTCCCACAACCAAAAAAAAAGGAGGGAACAACCACTCATGACTCAACTCACTTCACTCACTCACTTGCTTCCATTTATATATAGCACTCCAACCCTTCCCTTTACTCGCCATCGCGCATTTCAGCAAGCTCTGCAAATTCATTCGATTTTCAGAAATCCGAGCCAAGGTAAAGTGTTCTCCATTGCCTCTTATAACCAGATCTCAAATTTCTGTGTAACTTTTATGGCATCACGTTTTAGAATTTTACTTTTCGTTCGATATCTCTTCTTTCCGTTTTGTAGTAGATAGATTTCTCTTTGACTTTTGCTTGGATCTGAATTTCCACATCATTTTCTGTTTGTTCTCACTCAGATTATGCTCTGATTACTGCTTTGTTTATGCTTTTTGTTGGATTTCTTTCGGAAGCTTTCGTAAACTAAGCTTTGTTGAAATCTGCACTCGTGTCTGTCAATATTTGGATGTCGTGGACATTAGATCGTAAATCTCTTCGATATGTTTAGCATTTAGATCTGAAGCATTTCATTTTCACTCGATCTTTTGAATCATTTAAAAAAATGCATCCGTTTTATCATAGAATAAAGAATCTAGAGTTAATTTTAGCTCAGTTGTACTCAGTTATGGAAAAATGAGAGATCCTTCAAGGTTGAAATCTGCATCGCCTTTCTTTCAATATTTTGAATTCCTTGGATATTTGATCTCAAATCTCTTGAATATGTGAATGTTTAATAATTAGATCTGAATCTATTGAATCATCGCATTTTTACTGGACATTTTCTCTTAAAAGATGCATTCTTTTTGTCGTAGGTAAATTATTTGGGACTTATTTGAGTTCAATTGTTATCAGTTAGGGAAATATGAGGGAAATCCTTCATGTTCAAGGTGGACAATGTGGCAACCAGATTGGTTCCAAGTTTTGGGAGGTTGTTTGCGATGAGCACGGCATAGATCCAACTGGAAAGTACATTGGTACCACGGATCTGCAGTTGGAGCGTGTAAATGTTTACTATAACGAGGCTTCATGTGGCCGATTTGTTCCTCGTGCTGTGCTCATGGACTTGGAGCCTGGTACAATGGACAGTGTCCGAACCGGTCCTTACGGTCAGATTTTCAGGCCAGATAACTTTGTTTTCGGACAATCTGGTGCTGGAAACAATTGGGCAAAGGGCCATTACACTGAGGGAGCTGAGCTTATTGATTCCGTTCTTGATGTTGTGAGGAAAGAGGCTGAGAATTGTGACTGTCTGCAAGGTAAAGAGATTGTTTCTTTAGGCTCTGGACTAGTATAAATTGATAATTCCATTTAATTTTAGTCCTGAACATATTTGCTATCTTTAGTGACAGTTGTGGATCTGATATGCTATTGCAGGTTTCCAGGTGTGCCACTCCTTGGGTGGAGGAACTGGTTCTGGGATGGGTACCTTGCTAATCTCAAAGATTCGAGAGGAGTACCCCGATAGGATGATGCTTACATTCTCGGTGTTCCCCTCGCCAAAGGTTTCGGATACGGTTGTGGAGCCGTACAATGCTACTCTCTCTGTTCATCAGCTTGTCGAGAATGCCGATGAGTGTATGGTCCTTGATAATGAGGCTTTATACGATATCTGCTTCAGGACTCTCAAATTGACGACTCCTAGCTGTAAGTAAATTCGAGGTCTTCGTTTTTGGTTCGATGATCTTTACTGCTTTTCAGTTGTTGATAGTGGTGGCTGAACCATAATGTGATTGCTACTTGATGTTTTTGACACTTTTTCTAGTTGGCCAGTGCTCTCTTCATCTACTTGTATTTATCTATATGTGTTGCAGTTGGTGACTTGAACCACTTGATCTCTGCAACCATGAGTGGAGTCACTTGCTGTCTCAGGTTTCCCGGTCAACTCAACTCCGACCTCCGAAAGCTTGCCGTGAACCTGATTCCCTTCCCTCGTCTTCACTTTTTCATGGTCGGGTTCGCTCCTCTAACCTCCCGCGGTTCCCAGCAGTACCGTGCTCTGACTGTCCCCGAATTGACTCAACAAATGTGGGATGCAAAGAATATGATGTGCGCTGCTGACCCAAGGCACGGTCGCTACCTCACTGCATCAGCAATGTTCAGAGGCAAGATGAGCACTAAGGAAGTCGATGAGCAAATGATCAATGTCCAAAACAAGAACTCATCCTACTTCGTGGAGTGGATTCCGAACAACGTGAAATCCAGCGTCTGTGACATTCCGCCTAGAGGACTGTCAATGGCATCCACCTTCGTAGGAAACTCGACCTCGATCCAGGAAATGTTTAGGAGAGTCAGCGAACAATTCACGGCTATGTTCAGGAGGAAGGCTTTCTTGCATTGGTACACCGGTGAAGGCATGGACGAGATGGAGTTCACCGAGGCTGAGAGCAACATGAACGACCTCGTGTCCGAGTATCAGCAATACCAGGATGCCACCGCCAATGAGGAAGGTGACTACGAGGACGAGGAAGAGGAGGACGAAGAGCACATGTGAAGAGGCGAATGCTTGAACGAAGCTGTTGGTAATGTAGCATACGGTATAATGATTTTTCGAGCGTGTTTGGCATTCCATGTAATGAGTAATGATCGAGTCTTTCATTTTGCCTTTGTTTCAGCTTGTGAGTTATGTACGATTATTGGATGACTGAAATATTTTGAAAGTGGTAATGGCATATCTATGTTTGCAGTTACATAGGTGTCTACATTTGGTATATTTTTTTTTTATTAATACGAGATAATTACAAGGTAATATATGTTCAAAGAACATTTTTAATCATTTGACATTGAACGTTCACATTTCTAGCATTCATGGTACTCAAACTACGGACATCAATGAATAACAATTCATTTACCACAAAGGTTACATGGTTTGTACTTGTATAAAACTTCAGTGCTCTTGTATTGCGACGATCGATGTTAATAAAAAAAACTGTCAATAAATGTGTAACAAGTAATTTCTTCTTGCAAGAAGGTCCACAGGAAAACAGACATCTTGCACTCAATGCCTTCAGGTTTTATTGGTAGAAAAATGTATGTTTTGTGTCTAAGAAGACGAGGGTGTGATTTTATTGTCTCAAAGAGAGGTAAAGGTATGGCTTTGGGTATCTCAAAGGAAGTAGTGTCAAAATTTGATTTTTGTAACGACCATGAGTTATTTAGGATAAAGAGTCGAGTAATTGTATTTTTGGCTTAAGACGGGATAATAAGGGTTTAATCTTGTCACTTGCCCAGAGACCATAACCTTGATTCTCAAGAGAACTTTTAATGCAAATGATATTAAAGGAACTATAAGATTAAAATTTGTTCATTGCTCATAATCTCAGAAGGTGACATTTTATTTAACACGTTCGAATGTCAAGCAACTTATAAACATTTAAACATAGAAAGAAATGAAGAAAATAAGTTTAAACAAAATGAAATGCTTTTTCATGCAAGTGTAACAAAGTTGTATAGTGTATGCAATGACTTCTTGATACGCATCAGAATGCTTCATTACTCATCGAACGTCCATGCTCAAATTCTGGACCTTTTGCCTTAATGCTCCACAGTTCTCATTGGTTTGCCCTTGAGCTTCCTATGTGATAGCTACATGTGGCGTTAATATTGTAGCCTTCAGGATATAGGGGTTCTTTTGGCTTAGACTGGACAGGAGTCACCAGGTTCCTTTTAACCAGTATTGTAAGTAACTCCTCATAAGTCATTGGAATTGGATCAAAGCGATTTTTTTTCTCGAATCAACATACAAGTCTCGGCTCTATGACCAACTGAATAGTCTCCTACCATACTGATTTTAGCTTCTTCCTAGGTGTCAGCACTACTTGCGCTCCTTAATTTACCATTCTCAATAGCCATTTCAATTATCTCTCCACACATGACGACGTCAAAGAATTTCTTTGTTGCAACCCCTAGCATATGGTTGATGTAGGGAGACTTCAGTGTATCAATGAACATAGTGATAAACTCCCTCTCAGTCGTTGGTGGATGCACTTGGGATGCAACGACCCTCCATCGTTGTGTATATTGTCTGAAGCTCTCGTTATGTTTCATCTCCATGTTTTGTAGTGTTGTTCGATCAGGGACATATCTGTCATGTGTTTGTATTGACCCAAAAATGCATGGGTCAAATCCTTCCATGAGCGAATCTGAGCATGATTTAACTGGTTATACCACTTAGAAGCTGGTCCAATCAAACTATCTTGAAAATAATGGATTAACATTTAATTGTTATTGTTGTATCCATCCATCCTTCGAATAAACATCGTGAGAATGGCAGAAGGGCAACTGATTCCATTGTATTTTTCAAAAAGACATTTTGAACTTATGTATGAGCACCAAGTCAAGAACCATTGCCAACTTACTTGCATTCATTTAATCTCGGGTGCTTTGTTCTTTCAATCCTTTGAAGTTGTCCTTGCACTAGTCTTTTAAGTTTTCAGAGATCTCATTCTTAGCTCTTTTCATTTTATCAGAATTAGATCTGTTGTAATTAATGGGGTTGCTTCGAGCCCTAGGGGCGAAGAAACTTGCTTGGTGGATTGAAGCCTCTCGAGTGAGATGATTAGCTCAGGAGCAGCATGTGGCGTCACACACTTAGTGGTTTCCACATTCGGGGAAATCTTTTCCTTGTTTTTTGCCTTGTTAAGCTCAACCAATTTCTCAACAATCTGGTCAACCATGCTAGCCTGGGTTTGCAAAATGTGATCCATAATAATCTTTTGTGATCGCTCCAATTTGGTTTCCTAATCTATTTCATTTTAAGTAAATCTTCTTGCAATTATTTTTTCAGTTGCTCAAATTATGACATGTGTCACCTAACGGATGAAATTAATACCGTTGACGATCTATATACCTAAAGTGGTAACATTTGTAACTTGCAACAAGATCATTAAAAAATAGTTTAGATACTTGTTCGTGAAAAATGCTATAGTTTGGACCCTTCTTCTATAATTAAGCCTAAAATAAATAACCATAAGAAGACAAAATAAAGGAATGAAAAATGTGCAAAGAAAAAACGAAAGGCACGTGTACACGAAATGCATCATCCTCTTCTTCCATTACTATTGTTTTACGGTGTGCAGACGCGTGGGACCCACACGCCATTACCTCGATTTGATGACCGCGAGTGAGAATAGTCAAGGCAGCCACGTTCCAATGACGCCATATATTACGTCATATTTAGTTTGAACGCAGTCAACGGTAAAATTGGCACCCGCCAGAATTGAGTAGCAAAAATTTCTTTTTATTAGCAGTAATATTTTCAAACATAAAATAAATAAATTATTTAAAATATTTACATTATAATATATACATATATTAAATTAATTAAAATATTTACATTATAATATAGTATAATATATATATAACAGAAATAATAAATTAGACTAAATTAAACCAAATTTAAACCTTGAATATTGAGAATTCATCTCATATTTTAAATTTATTTATTTTTTTATTCATTCTTATTTTTGACATAATTAAAGTTAAAAAATTCAGTTTGGATTGTTATTTTAATTTTTTATATTTTTTGAAAAATAATAATATATAACTCTATCTATTTTAATCATACATTGCCCATTTAGAATTTAGATGATTATGTTTCAAGATTTAAAATTTTAAGGTACAAAATTTATAAATTTAAATTTCAAAATTCATAATTAAAATAGATAAATTTTACATGGCATGACTATCAAACTATCTCTACTCTTGTTTTGTCTAAATTCTCTTAAGCATTTTTTATTCTAAAATTTAAGTTCATATATATATATATATATATATATATATATATATATATATATAGGGTTAGGATCACTTACACAATAATTTTTTTTTAGTTTTATACAGATTTAAGACCGTTGGATGAATGAAAATAGATGACTAAGATTGACTTCTTTTTTTCCCAGTAAATATCTTCAGATTTTTTACGTTTAATCTCAGTCATCTATTTTCACTGATCCAACGATCATAAGCATGTGTAAAACTAAAAGAGTTTTACATTGTATAAGAGGATCCTGCCTCATATATATATATATATATATATATATATTCCATTAAATAATTGGAAAATAAATTTGCAAGCCACAATGGGGAATAATCTATTAAAAGGAAAATTCTTTTTTTTTCTTGGGAGAATATTTCATAGATAAGAATAAAATAAATTCAATATACAAAGACACTGCATTGGTTCATGTTACCTAGATGCTAAGCGTTGGCATCTTTCATACAAGAATAATAAAAACAAAATTCTATGACAATAAAAAAATTATTTTTTACATATTTTTAATCGTTAAATAAATAAAAATAATCGTGAAAATCGAATAGTTAAAATTATCAAAAAATAATGAGAAGATATTTACGAAAAAGAAACTTTTAAATTTTGTAAGTATATAATATTATTACTCAAAATCTAGAATTAATATTTACTTCAAAATACAAAAAGGATGCATAGAATATCAAAAGTTCTTATCATTACTAAAAGGGGAACCAAATCTTATCCTCCCCATTACTGGTGAATCTTTCTCCTTTTTTGGGAAGAAGAGGAGAAACCCTAAATAAAACTCAATGAATTCGGATTTAAACTCGAGATCTAATGTCAATAAAACCGTGAGTCGATTACTACGACGCCGGTAACCAGTTCGACTACGAGCTTTGAACATATTGATATCATCATTTCATCAAGAAAAAATCACTTATTACATGTAAATTCATGTGGGGTTATGATGGGGGAAATGAGTGTTGATGAAGTCGATAAACAAAGATGGGTAAAAAAAAATTAGGGTTCTTGTTCTGTACACAGATTCAATGACTTGCAGCCTCCAAATATGTGATTTTTACCCATCATCTATTTAGTTCCTACCTAAGCGTTGCAGTAGAAAAGTAAAAAAGAAAGTCCCTATACCTCGAAAGTTCCAAAATCTACGATGAGAATCGATAGGAAGAAAGTTCGTTTCCGATTCTTCGAATGTACCTCTTTGTTGCTCTGTTAACTTGATCATCGATCACTGAAAAGAATTCTCATTATTTGATTGCTGTGCTGTGTTGAGGTTCCCATTTGTGTTTTTATTGGTATTCTTACACCCAATCTGCAACAATGGAAGAAACTAGGAAGGCGCTATCTATGCCACTCTTCGAAACACACCCCGGGGGGATTATCTCCTTCTGTTCGCCCATTGTCGGTTATGGTTACCATGTTTCGAATACGGATTTTTGTGGTCAGAACCTTGTTTCGGGATGTCACGCAACTCCATCACTTGTACCGTACGCTTCCTCTTGGCTGTTAACACGCAAAACGTTACGTTTTCAAACGGTTTTTGTGTCAAATAATGGAGGATTCATATGGAATTTAGAGGGGAAGAGACGAACCATTCTTGACTTGTTCATATCGCTCGTGTAGCTTCCTTTTTGTTGCCTCGAGCTTTCGATCTTCATCCAAAGCCTTGAGTTTCAGAATAAAGAAGAGCAGTGATTAGAAAAATGTTATGAAGACGTGTGACCGAATCACAAAGAGATTGTTCGCTTACATCTTGTTGATTACAGAGGTGCTTCTTGGGAACAGCCATTTTATCCGGTTTCTGCACCAAATTCGATTCGTCGTTGGCCTTTTGCTCGATATTATGTTTTGGAGATCTACTGGACCCAACATTTGTGCTCGACGGCTTGTTAGGCTTTGCAACAGGTTCTTGTCTCTTCATTTGTTGCTTCTTGTCATCCTTGGTGAGCAGATATGCTTCACCTGATGCCTGCGGTTTCTGTCTCGAAGAATTACGGTTCTCCTCTGATGGTTTTCTTCCATTATTCCGGTTCTTGACGATTTCCCGGCTGTTTCCAGGATCTGAGACAACATTTCCCGATCTTAATCGAAAATCTAAATAAGGAATTCAAATATAGAACCAAAAGGCTTGAAAGCTATCTAAGAGAAGCATTAAAGAGAGATAATTCAACTCACTTCCATAATCATCCATGCCATCGAAAAACTTCAGATAACGCATCACCGGTGACAAAGGAGAAAAAGTAATTCCAATCAGTCCACGAGCATAACGGCAAGAAGTTCTTTAACAATGAATATTAAAACAAACAAATACGTAAAGATTTAAAAAGTAAGACCTGCGAGAGCTCCATCGATGTAGGTTGAGTAGCAAAGAGAACTCCTACATCTAAAGGAGGAGAAGGAAGCCCCCCTTCTTCGTAGTCTTGTCCTTCTTCCTCTTCGCCAACAGACGGATTCATAGATTCCGGAGTAACCCCTTCATTCACAAATTCATGAACAAATGAAAAACCAAAAACGAAGCAACGTCGGTTTCCAGGAATTACTGAATACCAGTAAAATATTTCTTACCAGCAACAGCCTTTGTAGCACTAACCCACTCATCTACCAATTCCTTCCATCCACTGCAATCAATAAAACCGGGTGAACAACGTGTATTCATACATGTTCCTGGACAATATAAACAATAGAATGTACTGCCAGAAAAAAGAACACTATTAAATATACTTAGGTCAAGATAAAGCCACCGACCGCAACAACAATTAATACTAACGGAAAACACGGAGTGAGCAAAAGTCAGTATGCTATGTAGTCAGAGCTAACAGTTTATCAGTTAAAAAACCGATCTACAATTGTCAATTATGAAGCCGAGTACGTTTAAATACATGTTTATCACATAACGTAATCAAACAGTTCACCATAACAACTAATTCTAACGGGAAAGATGGAATGAGCAAAAGTCGATACGCCATTTACTCGGAGCTAACAGTTCAACCCTTTAACAACTAATCTGTCAATTATGAAGCTGAGCACATTAAATACATATGTTACATATCAATGTTTATCACATAACATAATCAATCATTCAACTTCATTGCAGCAAAGGAAACAAACCCATACTTGATGAGAGTTTGAGCAAGATTACGAATCTGCTTCGATGAATGCTTTCTGACACGATTAACGGCCTTTCCGATCCCAGTTGCCTGAAAATGGAAACAAATTACCTTGTTATCCAAGCATTACAATGGAAAAAACCTACATAAAACAAGGGATAAGGTTTCGATCAAAGGACCTCAAGAATATCCACTGTCAAATCCATTAATTGAAGCTTCCTCAAGGATTCGAACAATACGGAATCCGGCTGCAATAAACATTAGTAACATGAGAAACTATCAATCGAAAACTATCATTTACACAAATTCCATAAAAGCTATATGTTCAAAACCCTGCAAAACACAAACCTCATCCTGAAAATTGTGAAGAACCTCTTTGATCCTAGACACTTCATCAACAACCATCGCCTCTTCTTCGATTTCATCGGTCAAAGCCTCGGCTTCACCGTAGCTATAATTACTAGCAATTCGGTTAATCAAAGGGTCATCTCTGCTACTATTAGCTTTGCTCTCTTTGCTACCACCTGCCTCAAATTCTTCATCAGCTTCACTTTTGAAGCTCGTGCGGCAGCCGCCGGCTCGAGCTTCATCGTCTACCTCTTCATACTCGGGTACAACTAACTCGACCCGATCGCAACCGGAACACCGAGTGAATTCGCAAGTGAAAAGCTTCTCAGCAATTCGATCTCTACGTAATCTAAACTCCTTAGGACAATCTAAAGCGGCTACCACAATAGCATGATTAATTATATCAAATATGTCTGAGTTTGCAGACCGAAAATAACCCCTCCACTGCTCTAACGGCCAACCTTTCATCGTCATTTTCCCTTTTCCCCCCCTTCTTTTTGACGAAATCAAGATTAAAAATGAAAAGGAGGTCAATTCAATTCAGATCAGATGAACCAGATTCCAATTGTATTCATTTATTCTCCATAGAGGATCAAAATCAATCCCTCAAAATCGAAGCTTTTCAGAATCCGATGAAGAAAGGGGATGATCGGAATGGGAACAAAATCTGGTTCGTTTGTGTTTTACGCAGATTCCGGTAATAGACAAAAAGAAAACAAGAAAAACAAACTAAAACTATGAAGATATCTGGAAAAAAAAGAAAAAGAAATCTGTCAGCAAACAAGAACAAAACACTCGGGATGATAATTGTTTCCCATAATCAAAAAGGAAAATCTAACACCGAAAAAAAAAGACAAACAGAAAATCAAAAAGCAAATGTAAACCCCAATAATGAAATGAACTAAAAACGAGAGAAAAAAAAAACAAAACCCAGAAGCTTACCCGAAAACCAGAACTGAAAAAAAAATGTAGCAAAATTAAAAATAAAAATGAGAAATTTTATGGCGAGGGAAAAGAATCAACTGTTGCAGCCAATAGCTGTCAGCCTCTTTCAACAGACCACCGAATTCCTATATAAATCTTCTCTGGATGTTGTTGATATACCCGTATGGGTCAATCCAATACCTGACCCATATCCATGGGTGTCCTTCAAAATATTTTATTTTATTTTATTTATTTATATTTAGGTTATGGGTAATAATTGACTTGATCGGTCACAAAAGGTTTCTTCATAGGAAGGAGATATAGAAAAATTCATTTCTTATAAACTTTCCTTTTTGTCTTTTGTAATAAAGATGTAATTCTTTAACAAATGATATTTCTATTTAGATTTTATTTCAATTTATTATAGTAAGTTATTTATAGACAAAGTGTGAATAATTAATATGGAAAAAAATCAGATACTAAATCTAAAAACCCTAAAAGTTAATTGGGTAAAATACAAAAATGGTCCCGAATTATAGGGCATTGCTTTATTGAGTCACCTGACCATTAATAATTATAAAATAATTCATTGACTATAGGATGTTGCTTTGTTGAGTCCATCGATTATTAAAAGTTACAAAATGATTACATGACTATTTATTGTGTTTCAAACTCGTTATTTTTCGTTAAAAATTTGATGGCAGTTTAAGTTGGACGTTAACTTGTTGACCATGATATGATAAAATATGATTTCAAAATCTCAAATGATTGTCATATCTCAATCTACATGTTAACGTCAAACTTAAATTGACATCAATTTTTCGACGAAAAATGATGAATTTGGAATATAATTAATATTCGAGTGACTCAATAAAGCAAATACCTATAGTCATAGGATTACTTTGTAATTTTTTAATAGTTTATGGATTCAATAAATCAATATCCTATAATCATGGACCATTTTTATACTTTACCCATAATATTTTTATCTTGATTTTTTTAATATAAATATGGATTCAATAAGTAATTTTTTAAGAGGAAAGTGGAACTTTTTGTTGTTAAAATTGGTAGGGAACTGGGAAGAAAACGAGTTGTGTGACTCAGCGATGAGTTAGTTGGGTTCGTGTCGAGTTAGGTGCCATTTATGTATATGTGTAGTTGGGATAACCAAAGTCAAAAGAGTTATAGTATTTCCTTCTTTCCCTTACGGTAGAATGTGTAACCATGGTTTTTATAATTGTATCGATCAATGAATCGGTTGTGTTATCAGTTCATTGATTCAACTGGTTGAATTGATCAAATCGGTCGTAAGAACCGGACGACGTCATAATTATTTAAAAAATTAAATAAAAAAAAATTTAGGTTGAACCGATTCACGGTCCAATCTGATTCGACCGGTTCGAACGATTTCTTACGGTTCATTAAAATCGGTTCAACCGGAGTATAATGGACCGGACCAGATAACTGTTCCCGATTGAACCGACTGGTCCGGTTTTTAAAACAATGTGTGTAACACTCACACGGCTGTGACGGAACTGGTGGTGATATCCCGGTACGGGTGGTGATATCCCGGTGGGTCAAGGGGACACGTGGTTGTTTCACGCGTGGCTGCCGAAATTTATGGATAAGACGGAGAAAAAGCACATGGGGATAAGGTAGCAGGCCTGTCATTCTTGCAATTTCAGAATGTAGTCAAATTTCAACAATTCTTCTTTGTTTTCTTTTTTCCCGTATTTACCTAATGGCAAGCGGTGATTAAAAGAAACGTTGACTTTTTTTTACCAGGAAATGGCCTTTTGACTTACCTATTCAAAGTTGAAATCTAGTAAAATCTAGTCGGTTTAATTTTAAGGTAAAATACGCAAATAGTCTTCGATTATAAAATATTATTTTATTGAGTCTTATTATTATTAAATATTATAAAACGATCATCGGACTATTACTCACTACTTTGTTTAGTCTTATGACTATTAAAACTTATAAAATGATTATTTGACTATTCATATATTAAATACTTGTCATTTTTCGATAAGAAATTAGAGTTTTTTAAGTTGGATGGTAACGTACTGATTGAAATATGAGAATCTGATCTTATAATTTCAAACGATTATACAACTCAAAGGATCATATTTTATCATATTCTGATCATCATGTTAACGTATAGTTTGGACTAGGACAGAACTGCCTTTGTCCGAGGGCACTAGCCCCTGTTTTTTATTAAAAAATATATTGGAAAAATATTAAAATAGGGTTCCAAATTTTAGTTTTTTTTGCCTCTCATTTTTTATGGTTAATTATACTTTACCCCTCCTTTTTTATGATTAATTATATTTTGCCACCTCAAGTTAGAATCTGACTTCGTCCCCATTTTGGACTATCGTCAAATTATTAACATAAAAGGATTAATTAGTAACATATGCATAGTCAAATAAATATTTTGTAATTTTTAATAGTTGAAAGACCAACAAAACAACACCCTATAGTTAGAGATCATTTTGTAACCTTTAATACTCAAGAGATTCAATAAAGTAACATCCTAGGGACAATTTTTATACTTTACCTTTTGTTTTATGTACTTCTAATGAAATGTATTACATGACGATTATTCAACTTTTTTGTTAGATTATTTTTGAAATTAAACCAGATCAAATCTTTAAGTAAGAGACATCGATATGTTTACCTAACCACGTAAAAACTTGAAATGTTGTATATAGAAATATCAAATTTCTTACCATTTGATACTAGGGATGGATATGAGACACAATTCTGACGGGTTCTGACCTGTTCCGTCCCGATCGATTTGGGATATTTTATAAAAAATTGGGTTAGGGTTTAGGGTAAAAATATTCAATCCGACTCAATCTAAAAAATAATTTTACCTTATATATTTAAGAATAATTATAATAATATCCCTTTATATATTTTTTTCAATTTAATCTCTAATTTTGTTGAATAAAAATAATATTTTATTATTATTTTAAATCGGGTCGAATTTATATTATATCTCAAAAAGTTGAGTTGAAATCAGATCAGGTGGAGTGTGTATATTATCGGGGCTTTAGCAGTAATTTTACTATTTAGCTTTGTAATTTTGAAATAATTGACTTTTTGACATCTTCATTCAACGTTGAAAAGTGGAGAAAGAAAATGTAAGTTATATATTTTAATATTGTGGGAATTGGAATATTTATAATTAAATAAAATTATTTTATCTTTTTGACTTATTTTTTTAAGTTGTCACGACTTTGGTTATAAAAATTACTACATAATTTAAATCGAAAGGACATTTCGTAATTATCAACATATTTTATTTCACACTATAATGATATTTAAACCTTATAAATAAATTAAAAAAAATATCAATTCACTATGTCATTTATTTTCTAATTATTCAAAAAACATTTATTTTCTAATATTCAATATATATATTTTTTTAAATTTTAGTTGGAACAGATCAGTTTTTTCTAAAAAAAATTGAAATCAAATTAGATCCAATATTTAAAATTATTTTTGTAACTATATTTCGGTCGAATTAAATTATATTAAAATTGGAAAAAATTACAGTCAAATTGTAAATACATTATTATCTTTGTAATTATTAATAGGGCAAAGTACACAAATGGTCCTTCAATAATAGAATATTGTTTTATTAAATCTTTCGATTGTTACAAGTTACTGAATAATCCTCCGACTATAGAGTGTTGCTTTGTTGAGTCCATCCACTGTTAAAAGTTACAAAATGGTTGTTCGACTATTCATTTATGTTCTAAAATCATATTTTTCTATTAAAAAATAACAACATTTTGAGTTGAACATTAAACAACTGACTATGATATGATAAAATTTGATCCCAAATCTCAAACGACTTTCATATCTCAATCATCATGTTAACGTCTAACTTAGAAAGCTGCTAATTTTTTAATGGAAATAGAAGAATTTAAAATATAATGAATAGTCGAGTGATTGTTTTGTAACTTTTAATAGTCAAGGGATCCAACAAAGCAATACTCTATAGTTAGAGGATTATTTTATAAATTTTAATAATCGAGAGAATTATTAATAATATAATTAGATAAAACAATATTGCTACTGTAAACAATACGTACACGGTCAATCTACATATAAAAAATGACCATAAACACATGAAAAATGTTTTACGCATTAAATAAAATAATAGTGTAGAAATTACTATTCATTCTATTTGACTTTTATTCAACACATTGATCACTTATCACATGCTTTATATTGTGAAAGTATTACTGACTAAAAAAACTTAAATATTCCTCTTCCATCCTCGATCACAGATAGACACATAATTTTATGTTAAGTGGACGAATTTGAAATTATAAAATTTCAAGAGACGGATTTGAATTTAAAAAATTTTGTAGGGACGAAAATAGATTTTCAATAGAAAATGTATAGAAAAATCTAAAATATATGATAATTTTAAATTTTCAGGAGATGACCGTCCTCACCCGCTTGGAGTTGGCCTTCTTACTACTCAATGCAATCGCCTTCTTCGAACTCGGTGGCCGGTTCAAATGCTTGCATATGAAATCTCCAGCCAACTAGGGCTTTTCGAGATCGACGTTTGTCTGTATCTTGAGCCCGTTGAGCGTGTAGACGACGTCCTCGGTGGCAACATTACCCGAAGCACCCTTAGCATATGGACAACCTCCGGGACCAGAAGCCAATGAATCCACAATGCTGATCCCCATCTGTAAAGAGAATGAGAATTATTACGCAGAACTTGAAATGCTTGTAAACATTTCCAGAGTATCTGCAGATTTTG